AGGGCAGACTCAAAGAGTTCTGAGCTAGGATATGAGTGCCTCAGAGTAGAAATCATTTCATAGTCAGCCTTGTATCCTCTTGCTCAATGTTTTATATGTGGTAGGTTCTACAAAATATTTGTTGAATTTATTTGAATATAAAAGAAAAGATAGATATAATTATTTTTCATTACTTTTAAGAAAAATATTTTATGATTTAAACTTATTAAAACTACAGAAAAGAGAGACTTTTGCCATAAGATATTTATTTATTGGGCCGGGGATTTAGCTCAGTGGTTTTGCTGCCTGCTGCACAAGTGCAAGGACCCGAGTTCAATCACAGGTACCAAAAGAAAAGGTATTATTTATTGTAATTTATTGTATTCTATATTCATTCAATATTCAGTGATGATGGTGAGAAGTTCTTTAAATTAAAAGATTTATGCAGGGCCAGGGATTTAGCTCAGTGGCACCATGCCTGCCTCACAATTGCAAGGTCCTGAGTTGGATCCCCAGTATATATATAAAAGAAAGGTTTATACAAAACATGGCTCATATACTCATTGATAATGACAATATGCTCTTTTATGAATTATATTCAAATTCTAGTAGAGGTAATTCAGACAGACCTCTGAGCTAATGCACTGAAAGAACTAAAATATTGATCATGTTGAATATCTTGTTGCTGTTTAGAAATACACAATTGGAGGGATTCAATGTTTATCAGCTGGAAAAATAAGAAATGTTTAATGATAATAGAAACTACATATAATAAAATATGTGCATACCAAATTTAAAACAAAAAATATTATAACTAGAATGTTCTGATTTGGGGATTTGTGTAGTTTCTATTCCTTCTTCATACTGTGTTGAATTTTGTATGTTTTCTACAGTGAACATGTACAGTTTTAGAATATACAGTTTTAGAAATCAAGAAAAAAACTTATTTTTAAATATTCTAGTTATATCCATGTCTTACCAGCTCTACCTACTCCAAAAATCATCAATAATCAAATGGGTTTGTGGACAGGGAAATAACAATCAAAATAGCTATTTTGCTCATTGGGAAATTGTTTACAATTCAATCAATTGCAGAGAAAACTGGCTTTTGAAAACTTGATCATACTAGTCAGGCAAATCCAAATGATGACTGATGATAAAGATGTAACCAGAAACAACCTGTGTGGAGCCAATCCAGTCATATGATTTGATTCCTTTCTTATATACCCTGGCAAAACCCGTGTCCTTAAAACAAAATACAGTAATCTGAACACTTAATAACAATTTAAGTGCATCCTGGTTAGATTGCTTAATTGTGTGAGAAATTTACACATTAATTTGTCCAAAAGAACCACATCCTACCAGTAAATATTTTTTAAATGGGCTAAAATTATTAATTCAGAAATAAATCACTCAGAATCCCTACTTTCCAAACTGCTCAGACAATTCAAGGAAATAGCCTCACATCTTTCCTTTGAAATTTGCCTTTGACAATAAAACTATTTTTAAAAAGCCACTTAACTGGACTGGGGATATACCTCAGTGGTTCCACTGCCTGCCTCAAAAGCACAAGGACTTCGATCCCTGGTACCAAAAAAAAAAAAAAAAAAGAAGAAGACACTTAACCTTAACCTCACTCTCTGGAGAGAGAGATGACTCATAAAAGTAAATTTTTTTTGGTAAACCTGTTTTTAGATGTCTGCGTAAGAAGACACCTGATAAGTACACCGCAGTATTTCATTACAAAATGTGTTCATCTTACTTCCATGTATCATATACACAATAGCCATGAGAAATATTATTCTAAATTTACTAATAGAAATCTGAAGCCACAGCTCAGCCCTCTTGAAGCCAAGCTGTCAGTGGAGCAGAGCTCTGATCTGGTGCATTCCAACGGGTATGGGCCTAAACACCTGAGGAATGGTCTGCACGTTCATTCAGAGATCAGAGAAGATAATATTCCTTTACCACCTCAGGAAGCTGCTGAGTGCTCTGATCTCCTGAGAACAACATCCCTTGCTTGGCAGAAATGCTCCAGCCTGGGTGTAGCATGGGAGGAATATGGTACTACTCACTCCCTATTTGGTCTTGCTCCATCTGGGTGGTCTTCAGGGGAGGCCCTCGGGGGAAATGCAGATTAGAACCAGAATTTCTATGCCACTCACATCATCTGAGTGTCAGAACCCAGCCAGTTAAATCATATTGGCTATCCTAAAATAATAAAAATAAATTAATAGAATTGACTCAAGGGAAATCAAATTCCACTTACAGGTCTAGTGGTGGAAACAGCTGTTAAAATTCACTAACTTGAAAGTTCCACAGTAGCTTTTTAAGAATGTTTTTCAAAGTCTTTGGGTCACCACCATAAAAACCCTAGTTAAATATTACTCATCATAAGGCATTTTTGTGGGAGGACATGATGTGCATTTTGAAATCTGCATAGGATATAGATTATGGCCAAACCATTTGAAAAGTTTATATTTCAGTACACTATGACAGGCAGACTCATTGTAGTTTTAAAATTTAAGAAGGAAAAATCATTACTGCATTGAAAACCCCAACTGAGGACTCAAACCCCAAAACCTTTCCAGTAAGGAAGAATTTCCTTATCAAAGAAATGTCTGTAAGATGACGTGGATTTTTTATAAGCCTGGCCACAATTCCTATAATAAAACTCTTACTTAATGACAGGAGCAATTTAAAACTTATTTTACTTTAAAATTTTTTAAAGAAATAGTTTAAAACATAGTTTCTCCCCAAGGATATCTCTATGCTGTTTAAAGGATTGCACTTGTTATATAAACGCATTATTTTGGGAAGAATTCCTATAATGTTAGTAATAAAGGAATATGCCTGACAAGAAAAGAACTGAGCTTAGTGACTGGACTTCAAATTCCTTATCTTAAAAGAAAAGGACTGGTTTAGATGGTGTCTGACTCTTGAGTTCTAGAAGCTAGAATTCCAAGATTTCACACCAGTGAAAAGCAGCCAGCTCTAAATGTAGAGTAAATGCATTCATTCAGTGAGCATTTGAGGATGCTGATACAGCAAAATCATGTTCCTAAGAGTTTCAGTTGAAGTTATTTGATTATAAACAGAAACCAGCTCTGGATAACTGTAGGTAAAAGGGAAGTCATTGTGAGGTCATGGTGGGGCTCACAATCCCAAAGGGAAACCTACAGAAGCTGAAGTTTAGAAGGATAGGAAGCAGAGCCCTTTGGAGAGCTAAGTGTCCAGTCTTCAGGACATTACTCTAGGACTAACCATGTTGGTTCTATCCTTTTACCGCTAGGCTCAAGATCCAAAGCCTGTGGGAGAATGCCATTGTTCTTATGATGGGTTGATATTCAGTATCCACTCTTCCCCCATTCTTCCCTTCACTCATTGAAAAGACTAAAATTATAAAATACTATATCCCCCAGCCTTTCTTGCAGCCAGCATTCCTAAAAGTACTTAAGGTTTGGTTAATCACATGTCTTTGTATGTGATCAGAAAGGCAGAGGTGAAGCAGAGGCTATACTTGTGCTGCTTTTGCAATTTCTAATACAATGTAGAGCACGGATGTCAAAGTGTTTGATTTTTCTGCAACCGTTTTAGCTGAGCTCCCCAAATCCAACCATTCGTTTAATAGGTGTTAAGAGGCATGGCATCCATCGCCCATGTTGTATGTGCATGTTATAGCCCTGGCTGTGGTTTTTAACCCCCCAGTCACAGTGAAGGTGACATATTTTTGGAGCCAATGGTTTCAGTAGTAGCCAGAAGTGGGCATTATCATTCCTGACTCCTCATCTTCCTGGTGGTAACTGTTCTCTTTGTGGACCAGTCTTGTTCTGCAAATAATTCCTGGATCTCTAATTCTCTATCGGGCTGGGGATTTAGCTCAGTGGTTCCGCTGCCTGCCTCATAAGTGCAAGGACACAAGTTCGAACCCTGGTACAAAAAAAAAAGCTTCTCTAATTTTCTATTGATAAATCTCCTGCTTAAATACAAAAAGAGAGTTTCATTTGAGTCCAATTGACCATCAAGCCTTGTACATCCAACTCTCAACTAGTGGAAGGCTAACATGTTGATTGACAGTCCCACCCAAATTGCATGCACAATTAAATATAGATACTTCTCTAAAAGAAAATAAAAATGGCTTTATGAAAAAGAATGGGTGGGGACAAAAAACAACAAAACAACAAACAATTATCCTATAAATAAATACAAAGATAATCAACCAGTATCATTTTTGGCCCACTACACAATTCAAACTTTTCAGAATCCTTGAAATATTATGATGCATTATTAAAGCTTAATTACCCCAAGGGAAGTAGTCAGAGATAGCTCCACAAAGGGACATCTGTTCTAGGTCTTAAGGCTGAAGTAACTATGAAGAGCTTTGAGAAATTAATCACAATTGCTTTGAGGGCCAGGGATTTAGCTCAGTGGTTCTGCCGCCTGCCTCACGATTGCTTTGTACTTTATGTGTGTATACTTGCACACATGAGTTAAGTAAATAAATACTGAGAAGTCAAATAGTAAAGAAGAGTGTTTTATTTTGAACTTTTCTCCTACTTATAGTTATAAATTTAACAGTTGGAAGGAAATCCTACGAAGGCAATCCAACCTCTGTATTTCTACACCATAGCCCCAAAACACAGATGAGCGAGCACCTTCCTATCTCTGTCCTGTAATTGCCCTATGTATTCTGACTTCCTTAGGTAGAAATTGTATTTTATTCCTGAACATATTTCAAATGCTAAGGTTCATTACCCCTAGATTCCCACATCACTTGCTTGTTTTGATGACTTTCAAACATTTGTGTCCAGGCTTAGTTTGCCTCAAGTAATGAAGGCTACTGGCTCATGGGTTGGTACCTAAGGGTACTATTTTGGGGCCTACAGTTATTCTTGCTCCCCCAAGAAAGCTTAAGCCAATATTATTTCCTCCTTAACTCCAGCTACAGCTGTAGTTTATTTCTATCCTGATCTGTGCCTCTGCTGTTTTTCTCACTCATCCATTCCACCCCTTGATTTCAGCTTCTACTTGCATTGGAAATGCTGCTGAGACATTATGGTCACAGTGATGCTTTGACCCAAACTCACACCATGTGTTTTATGTGCCACCTGGTAGCACCATCAAGAGCATGAAGGCAAAAAGCCAACACTAATTGAATTTCCATCATGTGTCAGGTATGCATCTAAGACCTTTCCCGTGTGTTCTTCATTTCATATAATTTATACAATGGATTGCATTCTGGATCCAGTCATCTTTGGGGCTGTGTCAGCACTTCTCAGGCACTGGCTACACTAGAATGCAGCTTAATTAAGTCCCTCCCACCCAGCAGTGCCCTTTGTCCCATTCTTCCTGCTGTTTAATCCAGGTGAGCCTCAAATCTATCTCCTTTGCCTTGCTTTCAACACCACCATCCCAGATCCCACTCTAGTTCTACTTCTCTGCTTTTCTAGTCTTTCCTATTTCCAGCCTTTCTATAGGGAAGCCCTTACCCCAGCCCCAAATTCCAGCCAGTTGTAAGTGAAATGCATAGCCCCTCAGATGCTGAGACTGACCTCCCAGAGAGGGAGAAAATGAGACAGAAACCAAGTATCTAACATTCCTGCCATTTTCCTAAAACTAGGTCCACCTGTTTTGAATCAGTGGCATATACTAAATGGATGCTGTTCTTCCCAACAGGATGAAATGAGTAAATGTTACTTACACACAATTTATCAAAGCTTCTCTTTCCTTCTTGACCTTCTACATTTTCTTTCCAAGTGGCAAGAGGAATACTAAAGGATGAAGTTTAAAGGGTGATAGAATGTTCATCAAAAGATTAGGGAGTAATGGTAAAATGAATATCCAGTAACATGGGCTGCCCTAAGGGGACCTCAGAGAGCCCAGATTTCTTCATACACCAGCACTTCTGTACACATGCCAGCATACAAATTCACCACTGCCTCTGCTGCTCTACCATTTAAAAGTCTAATATGTTGTATTGCTCCCATTTTTTCATGCTCCAAATTCCCAAGCATAAAACCATTAAAGAAAAAAATCTATTTTTGCAACAAGATTGCTGGTATTACGTGTTGGATAAGGCCCATCTTTTTAAATAAGTATGGCCTTGGCTGAGAAATAAAGGTGCTAAGTTCTTGAAAGAACTGTGAGAATCTGGGTCCAGTCACCTCTCTAGGGCTTAAGGTGTTAGTTTCTGTTCCCCTCCTCCCACCTTTCAGTACTTTAAGATGAAAAAAGTCCATCTTTTAGACATTACTATACACTGGTCTTTAAATAAAAAGAAAATATTTCCTCCCTGCAGCTCTCCCTACTGGAGAGAAAAGATCTTTCCTCCCTGAATCCAAGGAAAGAGACCCTCATGAGAATTCTGCTAAGGCTACAGGAAGTGGGGCTTGATGTCTCTTTCCTTGTTTATATATCCGCTTAGGAACTTGGTGCATCATCTGCCCTTTACTCAGGTAAAGAAAACAGGACACCGGGAAAGGTAGTGTAGTGGTGAGGGCTTAAGGAGGGAGCCAAGCCCAAAACTCTCCCCCTCCACCATCCCCATCAGCTGAAACATTACTGATGATGGATCCCAGAGTGCAGGCTGCAATGGGTACACAGGACCTTCTGTCCCTGCAGGGAACTGCAACAGCCAGGAGCAAAGAGAACTTAGTACAGAAATGCAATGTAATGCCATCAGCCCCTATGTATCAGAATGGGATAAGAATAAAGATATTTTGCCTTGTATAGCTTAGAACATACTAGACTATAAACACTTGGTAAACATTTTCCTGAAACTGGCTCCATCAAAACTGATGTGAGGGCCAGGGATTTAGCTCAGTGGTTTCACCACCTGCTGTGCAAGCGCAAGTACCCAAGTTTGATCCCCTATACCAAAAAAAAAAAAAAAAAAAACTGATTTGAGCAATGATAACTAATTCTGGTTATTGTTAAATAAAATGCATTTAGATGAACCTGACATCCGCCTGTTCAGAAAAATTTCTCTCAGTACTTTATATCTCAATTTAATGGATGTCCTATAACTGGAGTAAAGGAACTGTGAGAAATTGGGTCCAGATGCAACATTCCCACCAATCATGGAGACTTTCAGTGGCAGATTCTTATGGTTACCTTTTGTGCTACTTCTCATTTTTTGACCAGAGACAGAGATGTGTTAAGAAATATGGTCTCCTGGTGTGTGTGGGGGGGGTGGGCACCTGATGTGTATAGTTTGCCAGTTTCTATGGTGTAAATACAACTACCATGGCTTAAGCAACCAATATGATATGACTAAATGTGGAATTAGGAAGAGCTTGGCACAGTCAGTGCTCAGAAGCCATCTCCAATGCACCCCTGACATGACATGGGTTACTAAGATCCACTGTCATTGCCATTAGCTCACTTTAAAAATGTTGGACTAATGGGCTGGGGATGTAGCTCAGTGGTTCTGCGGCCTGCCTTGCAAGCACAAGGTCCAGAGTTTGATCCCTGATACCAAAAAAAAATAAAAAGTTGGACTATTATTTTTATTTTATGTTCAATATCCTCCCCCAACAATTCCAAATAGCATAAAAAGAACAAATGCAATACCTAAATACAAGTGACAATTACAATGAAATATAGAAAACAAAAAATGTCAGTTTCTTTTAGAGAAGTCTTGATGGATGAAGAAGCTAATTGTGCATAGCATAGAAGACAAAACAATAGTACCACCAGTTTTAGATCCTTGCCATATGCCCCCTACTGTGGTATACATTAAAGCATAAACCTTGGGGATAGATTTGCAGATGGTGGCTTATGAAATTCTGGGGTACTCACAGAACTTTTTCTCTTTCTGTAGTAGGAGTTAGCCTATCAGCCACACAAGGAAGCACAGATGTTTACACCTCTGCAAAGGAGAGAAAACCAGAATCAAAGGTTGGTAGTTCTTTTACTGAAGAAAAAGGTGTTGCATCCCCAAGCTGATGAAGAGTAAACTAGTGGCAAGCCACAGAAGCCCAGAGATTCTTTACAGCTAATAGTTTCTGAAATAAGATTTCTACTGGGGCCTTTGAAGTTATACTGTGCATACATTCAGATCCTCTGCTGTAACTCAAATAGAGACAAAAATGACCATGGCCCAGTTAAGGTGATCTTCAGAGGATAAAATAAGATTATGACCAGCACTTTTCTCTCTTAGAGGAAGATACCACAAAATCATACTGTTTTCAATCAACAACAACAAAAAGAATTAACAGAATGACCTCAATTTTACATGTCCATTAACAAGTCAAGAATAATTTTTACAACCATCTGTGAGTAGAAGATTCTATCACAGCCTCAATTCAACTGTTGAACTAAGGTTAAATCAGGTTTTTTTAGGCATAGAAAGAATTTCTACACAGAAGTTTTTATCAAAGATTGTGTTGATTTTGATGTCCAATGTTTACATACTCCAATTATGCCCTTATAAACCTCAGTGAACAGAGTAAGGTCAGCCTAATTCAATAACAGTCAGAAGCCCTTCTTCCACTCCCTGGTCCCTCTTTACCTGACTCCAATTGTCCCATTTTACAATAGCTAGAACTTTACTAAGGAGCTGAAATTTAAAAATCTTCCTGTTTCCCTGCTGTATTATATAAAGAGGCTGTTATAATGGTTTCATTTAAAACACATTCTAGGTATATTTAATAAATCCAGACCCTCATCAACAAAAAGATACATCAGAGTAATAGTATCAAATTTACTCACATCTTTTACTTGCCATAATAAATTCTCTTCTCATAGATGGATGGATGGATGGGTAGATGATTGATAGATAGATAGATAGATAGATAGATAGACAAATAGATAGATAGATTTAGGATTGACTATCTAAATTGCTCCATGAGCCCAACTTATTTTTACAGAGTTGATTTAGTTATATTGTGACTCAGAACATTGCCAATCCAATACTGCACAGATTGACTTGATGAAGACGAAAAACTGACCAAGAAGGCAACCCCATTGAGATGTAGGTAGGCAGACCATGACATCAAACTCAAAGCCCAACTCTGAGCATGTTGAGAATTGTACCTACCTCAGAAATCACCTCCTGCTTCAGCATTTCAGCAGCATTCCCTGTGAACCTATTAAACAGGAAATGGCCAGCCAGGGACTCCAACAGGAAAGTGACATTCATCTTGGCATGGCTTTATGGAACTGGCCCCATTTGGAAAACAGATGACCACCAGACACTCAAGGAACTTTCCTAATTGTGAGCAAAAGTAGGGCAGCCACAACCAGGATGGGGCAGGAGAACTATTTTAAGGACTCCCTGAAGCACAGCTTGAAATGATGAGGCCCAGCTTTGTCACATTGGCCTGATGGGGATGTGCTTTTAGAGACCTTAGGCTAACTCGGAAAACTCAGACAGAGCAAGCAAAAGGCTCCAGTTCTGCAAATAGCAGCTGCAACCACACTTCCAAGAACAGAATGGGTCCTTTCAGCCATACTCATTCAAACTATCAGGCTGTGTCTTACTGTCATCTTGGAACTCGAAATGTGTACTGGAAATGCACTGACCTGGATAAGAGAAATTCATTCGGAATAATTTGCCTCAGTAACATATGAAACAGGTGACAAGTCCATGTAGAAAGAACTGTTACATAATTTTAAAGAATTACAATAGTCAGTAAACACGTGGGAAAAAGCTCAATCTAAGTTGTATTCGAAGACGTAAATTATTCAATTAACAAGATGTCAGTTTTTCCTGATTTAAAGACTTTTTAAAGGATAATATCCAGTGTTAGGGAGATGGCAGGAAAATAGAAACCCATATACATTTAGTTATTTGTTAAATGTTTATCAAACACATACCACATGCCAGACATTATTCCAAAGGCGAGCAATATGATATTATCAAATCAATCAAAATATTTGTCTCCATGGAGCTTACATTCTATAAGAGAAATTGTCTTAGTTATTTTTTTCACTGCTGAGATACAATACTGACAGGTGAAACTTAAAAGAAGTGAGGTTTGTTTTGCCTCACAGTTACAGTCCATGGTTGGCTCCCTCAAGGCAGAAAAATAGCATGGTAGAAGGACATGGTGGAGAAAAGCTGTTCATATCATTGTGCTCAGGAAGCAGAGCCAGAAAGGAGGGGACCAGGAAAGAGATGCACACTTTCAGGTTATGTCCCCAGGAACCAGCCTCCTCCAACCAGGCCCCACCTCCTAACACCAGGTCAGCTACAAGCACAGAAGTGGACCAATCCAGGGGTGAGTATAACACTCCCATGATCCAGACACCTTCCAGACACATTAGACTTTGGGGGAACAATCCAGTTCTAAACCATAACAAAAATTAATACCTTATCAAAATAATTTGTGGCAATAACAGTCTAACAGAAAGTAAAATAGAGTAGTTGGGTAAACAGTGACAGAAGGGTCTATTTTAAACACTTGGAAAAGGCCTCTCAGCAGAGATGAACTGAGTCATGATAGCAGTGAGAAAGCTATTCTGACTTTAAAAACATATGTTAAGGAAACAATGTGTCTAAAAATTTTCCATTGTGAAGTTAATTGCACTCTAGTTTTAATCACAGAAATGTGGAAACAGTATAAAACTGTAGATTTTTCCTTGTTCTTTATCTCTCGGATCATCCGGGCACCATTCTGTGAGGGTCCTGTGGGGAGACCCATGTGGCAGATAACTGAGGCCTCCCTCCAACAAGCATATGAGTAAGGGATCCTTAGCCACAGTCAAGCGTTCAGTTGACTGCAGCCCTGAACAAAATGTGGCTGTAAACTCAAGAGAGACCATGAGCCAAAAGCATCTAGTCATATCCCCGCAAAGTTCCTGAACTACAGAGAACCAAGCTCATAAACATTGTTTAAAGATTGTGATGACTAATACTGATTGCCAACTTGACTGGCTTGAGATATACTTGAGAGAGATTAGGAAGGCACACTTCTTGGTGTGTCTGGGTGGATCACTGGGGTATGACCTTAGGGACTCAGTGTGTCCCTGGCCCCATCTTCTCTGGCTCTTCCGCTTTCTCTCTGTTTCCTGGATGTCATGAGATGAGTGGCTTTCTTCCATGCTGCTCTTCAGCTATGTTTCTGCCTTAGATTTATCCAGCCATGGACTGAAACATCTGAAACCATGAGTCACAGCATTTTCTCCTTTAGTTTATACATATCAGCTATTTTGTCCCAGCAACAAAAAACTGTCTAATACAAAAAATGCTAAATTTTTAGTGTGATTTGTTATGCAGGGATAGCCAACTAATACACCTGGCCAGAAAAATGCCTTCAGAAATTTGGATTTAAATATTTTAGATTTGAACAATGAGCCCCAACTCCGATTTGCTACTGAATCTACTGCTACCTAGTATTTCATACCATCTCAGACTCTTCTCATACAGTCATGAATATATTTAAACTGACAGCACATGCAAAACTTTTCATCAGATGTGAAATGGAAGTTATTTTAAAGAATTAGCCCAAGCCAAATGTTTTCATAACTCAAGCCAGAAAAAGAGGTATCAAGATAAAAAATGTTTGGGGAAAGCATGGAGAAGCTAACTTTCCCTTAAAAATATCATAGTGCACATTTACATCAGGAAGGCTATAGGTTACCTCAGAAAAAAAAGAAATTCTTTTTAACTTTCTTTAGTATTTCCCCAATTACCTTTCTTTTGTCTTTCCTTTTATCTTTTGTTGCATAATAACTAGTGCCGTGCTATAGAACACTTCAAGAGATAATCTAATTGATAAAGCTGCTACAGTTGTGAGGTTTGCAATATCATCTGTGTTGGACTAACAGAGAGATGACTTGGAATCTTAGTTCTTTTGTGTGTTTAGGTGAAGAGCTACGGTCCTGCCTGGCCTGGTATCTTAGAAATTTATCTTGCCTGCTATTTTATAGGTATACATGGGAGTCATTCCTTTAATATTAAACTGTTACCATAGTTTTAAATCCTTTCAGCAAGGACTTGGGGGAATTGCCAGCCTTTGCTTTTGCTACGGAAATACAAGAATATATCTGCATATCATATTTTTAAACTCATATTGCAGAAGTTTACTATTTCTAAGTGGCATGTGATGTGAAAGAGCTGACATATTTCAAAAATAGGGCAGATATATTAGAAAACATAGGTATATGAAACACATTTTGTGAAGGACTTGATAAATTGCATGAAGCCTTGGGAAAAAAATATGTGAAATGTATTGGGAGTACTGTCCTATTTATATGGTGGCTGTATGGTGAAATTCAAACATGAGAAATGGCTTAGTTTTCTCATGCAGAATGGTAGAGTAGAACCATTGTGTTACAGAATTGAACTAAGATACGATAAGTACACATAAATTATCTCTGCATCTACATACCATGTTTCTCTGAAAGTAAGATCTAACTGGAAAATAATCAGCCTTGAAAACTAGAGATCTAAAATGCCAGCCAAATCACCTTGCCTGACCTGCCGTTACAGAGTAGCCACTGGGCAAGAGAGTAGTGAGAAACCATCTTCTGCATGACATTGGCCATCATGTGTAATTATACCCATAAGTATAAACATAAATCTATCTGCATAAAAATATATAGCCTACCACATAGAAATTAGAATAGTAAATTCTGTGAAAGCTACAGAGATGAATAGAACAGGGTTTGAGAGGAGACCAACAGGTCAACATTTCAACAACATTGGTTAGAGAATGATCAGGACTGAGACAACAGTCAGGAGGCTTTAGTGATGATAAGGAAGTTCTGGATAGGAGACACTGAAATAAATGTCAGAAAACAAATAAACAAGAAACAAAAACAGACTTTCCAAGTAGAACAAAAGAAAACCATCTCCACTTTGCCTCCTTTACAGTAGTTTTCTAGGAATGTTGAGCAACTCTGAAAAATAGCCTGAGCCCAAGTTCTGGAACTAGACTGGAATCAAATCCCTGTTTCACCTCTTATTGACTGTGCAGTGTGGGAAAATTACTTCACTGTGCCTTGATTTCGTCATTCATAAAATAGAGATGACAATAGTTCCTACTCCATGGGATTGTCATGAAGAGTAAGAAACAGGGAGATAGATCTTTTGCAAATAGGAAGGAGACCAAGAGATGTTGGGGGGGGGGGTGTATAAAAAGCATTAAGATGTGTCCTGAACATGTACCAACTCCCCACGATGAATAGAATCATTATGTATTGCAAATGTGTACTAATCAAAAAATACTCCCAAACATGTAAGTGAGCAGCTCAGAAGGTCAGCTTGGGCCTAAATATGGGTGAGAGAATTTGGAGTAGGATGGGGAAAAGAAGGACTTTTCTTGCTCTTCCCAAGAACAGTATATTTTTTTGACTTTAAAGTCTAAAGAACAGTGAGAAATGCTTCACTGATTAAACATCAAGCTAACCATTTCAAAATTAAAAATCCTAGGACATATGAGCTCCATGGACCTGAGTGTAATAGCCATTTCTCAGTGGCTCCCTGTTCTCTTTATTGGAGATGAAAATTCAATCACTTTCCAAATCAAATTACAGAGAAACAAATGAGGTCACATTGTTTTGTAGACTTTTTCCTTCCTGATGTGTGGGTTGGAAAGCAGAAAGCACCATGCTTTTACTTTATGTCATTCCCTCTTCCTCATCCCTAGCCCTTATCTTTGGACAGCAATGTTCCCTCTCAAGTCAGCAGGGATCGCTCTCTGAGCAAACTGCTCTCTGGACTGGTGGATACTTTCAGAAGCAGCATTTAGGCTAATATGGCAAATGCAATGAGATTTTAGAAAACTGACATACTTTGTAAGTAAATGTCATGCAGCTTGTAAAAAAAAAAATTCCTTGTAGTTGGCCATGATGACACACGCCTGTAACCCCAGCTACTCTGTAGGCAGATGCAGGACAGTTTTTAAATTCAAGCCCAGCCTGGGCAACTTAGAATGACTTTATTTCAAAATAAAAATTTAAAAGGGGCTGGGGATGTAACTCAGTGCTGGAGTGCTTGCCTAGCATGTGCAAGGGGCCTTGGATTCAGTTCTCAGTAACACACACACACACACACACACACACACACACACATTCTTTTAAGATGAAAATAAGACATCTCTCTCCAAGTGCTTTCCTTTCAAATTTTTCCTTGAGTACTCTGAAGAAATGCATCCCCCTCCCATAATCTTTCTCAAGGATTTCCAGCTAAATACTTGCATAACATTTGTGTTTATCTCTTTGAGTCTGTCACTAAACTGGGAATTCTTTTCTTCTTCAATAATGCCACAGCTGTTTGCTTATTTTTTACTTCTGTCTCTCTTTAATTTGTTAGAATGAAGCAATGGATAGTTTTAAGCCTTTAAGATATTGAATTAAACATAAATTGTTTCTTTGTCTAGGTGGACATTTTGTTTTTACTGATTCTTATTTCCCTGCAGTTCCAACTGGGCTAGAAAAGGATTGGCCAGGTGTCTACAAGGGAGTTTGCCTGAAGGACCAGACTGACAGGCCAGCTTCATACTCTCCTGGGACAGAAAGGGCACGCAGAGATTTGGAACTGTAGGCATGAGGAGAAGCGGCTTTGCACTGGGGGTTCTGGAAGAGTGAGCCACTTGAAAGACAGAAAGGGACTTTTTTATAGTAAACAAATGACCATTTCTGTGTAGCCAGGCTTGACTTCAAACTGTTGGCACCTTTAATCCTTAGCCTGAAATCTCTGACTTCCCAGAGAGACTAGAAGTAAAGGGTAATTGCTCCCCAGAAAGGAGAAAGTATTTCCCTAATTGGTCAGGCATAGGGGTGGGTGGAAAGTGCCCAGATCCCTCGCACCACAAGAGATGACTCCAACATGAGAGTCCTACTCCAATTCCTAGACCTCCATGGTAGATCGCACTCCAATTGTCTGAAGTGGTATCTGGCATGATCATGTGCTCTTACTTGCCTCTCTTCGCTACACCGTACTTGGGTGCCTGATACCAACTAAACTATTTGTACTTAAATTTTGTCTCAAGGTTGGCTCCTGGAGGAATCCAAACTAAGGCACCTCAACCCAGCGAAATATAGCAGCTGGAGAAGAAGACTCTTTATGTCAAAGGAAAAGAAATGGCAATCCCCCAAGTTTCCTTCTTTTTCTCCCATCAAGCCATTAATGTGTATAGATGGAAGCAAATTGATAGCATAATAATTGTTTTCACTTGTCCAGCTTAATTAAGGTATGATTGATAAATAAATTTGTATATATTTAAAATATATTATGTGATAGTTTGATATAGATATATATTGTGAAATGATCACCACAATCAAGCTAACATTTTCATTTCTTTATATATTTACCCATTCCCCTTGTTGTGCCTAGAATACTTAAGGTTTACTATCACTGTGAATTTCAAGTATACCATACATTCTTATTAACTATAGACCATGCTGTGCATTAGATTTACAGCATGTATTCACCTTGTATCTTAAAGACTATATCCTTTAACCAACATCTTTCTATTTCCCATCACCTCTAACCACTGATAATCCCCATTCTCCTCCTTTTTATGTGTTCAACTTTTTTAGAATCCACATATAAGTGAGATGGTACAATGCCTTGATGTATTTTGCTTTTTTTACTTAGCTTAATGTCCTCCAGGTTCACCCATGAGGATGAAAATGGCAGGATCTCCTTTTAAAGGCTGAATCACATTGGTTTATATACATATGTATGTATGTCCCATTTTCTTTATTCATTTATTCATTGATGGATACCTCAGTTGATACCATATCTTGGTTACTATAAATAGTGTTGCAATAAATATAGAATAACAGAGAACTCTTTGGCTACTTATTTAATTTGCACTGGATATATATTCATAAATATAATTACTGGATCATATATAATAGTCTATTTTTAATTTTTCAAAGAGCCTTCATACTGTTTGCTGTAATGACTGTGTCAATTTGCATTTTCATGAGAAGGGTTCCCTTTTCTTTACACCTTTACCAACACCCCTGATATTCTGACATTTTACTATAGGCAACTTAATAAGTATGAGGTAACATCTCACTGTAGTTTTGATTTGTGTTTACTTGAAGGTTAGCAATGTTGAGCACTTTTTCATATACTTGTTGGCCATTTGCATATCCTGGAAAAACATCAATTTAAGTCCATTGCTTATGTATTTTTTTTTGCTATAGACTTATATAAATTCCCTATATATTTTAGCTATTAACTTTTTAACAGAAACATGTTATGTAAATATTTTCTCTCTTCCATAGGTTTTCTGCTACGGTTTGTGTCTTAGTTACTTTTCTCGTTGCTGAGACAAAATACCTAACATCCACAAGTTAAAGGAGGAAAAGTTTATTTTACTCACAGATTGTAGAGGTTTCAGTCCATACACAGGTGGCTCCAAGGCAGAAGATGCTGATATCGCCAGGCCAGAAACCACCTGAGTAGCAAGGCACTAAACTATCTCGCTTTAGATATCAGCTTCTGGGCTAGATTTTCATTAGTAAATTGTAAGTCATGGTACTCTTGGGATAATATATTCTTGCTGTCTCACGGGACCATGCTGTAGGATTTACAATTGGTTCAGACCTCCCTGTAACCAGCAGCCAGCCCTGTACCAGTGGACTTTTTGGCCCTGCTTCCTCCAGGCCTATCTGCTCTATTGCTTTCAACTTTCATACCAGGCCAAGCGGTAAGAGAAGTCTTTTCAATGTGATGGGCTCTGAATGGGCCAGTATGTTCTCCTAGCCTCATAAGTGGAATATATTTAAAATAAAAAGAAAGATTTATGTTTACTGGAGTTTTAAGCCTTTTAGTAATTCTTAGAAATCTCCACTGGATAAAACTTTTTGAAACACTATTAAGTTTGCAATAATCTTTATTACTGGGGAAGCACTATATATCAGTATTCCGGTGGCCAGTAATCACATTAGGTGATTATTTATCTTTTTTCATGTTTTGATTTTGATTCCTTGTCTCTTCTTAAAGCTAACACTTAAATAGTCATGAATTCTTGATTCAGATGTCAGCTGATAACGGAAGGAAGCTAGTATGCATATGGGCACACACAGATTTCTCACCTTCACTAACCACAGCACCTGTGTAGCACGAGGATTCTCCAAAGCTAGTAAGAGGAGGAAGGGAAGGCTCATAAATCCAAGAAAAGAATGTAAAGCAAAATAGTGGAAATGGAAAGATGAATCTCATAAACAAAACTTAAGGTATTCAGGAAAATTCTTTAAATTTAAAAAGTTGTAATATTTTTATAATTATAGGTTTCTAAGAAAAAACCCTCAGTATAACAATTTGTAGACTTCATGCCCACACATTCTCAGATATTGAGGAAGAGCTACATCTCACATTCTTTGAAGTTCAAAGATTTCCATAGATTTCAGGTACTTTTGTCAAGAAATATCCCTGCCAGTTCTGTTTAGCAATGTTTTATTAGATAGAGGACATGGTGTGGTGGTATATTTTGGGAAAATCCAAACCTAGAATGAAGTGACACAGTTGAGAAGCTTGATACAACTTGATAAGACCTGGACCCAAATCCTAGTCCTGGTTCTGGGGAGTGTGGGCTTTTAGTTTGCTACCTTTGCTCTGCAGTAATGGCCTTGACTACCCAAAAGGGGTTAAGCTTTAAGAATCTAAATTTCCTTTCCCTTCCTTGATTTTACTAAAAACATCTCATTTTGACCATCCCTAGCCAAAATGTGTTTTTAAAATTACAATTTACATTTGTGACTCAAATAAATAAAAAGTAGAGTCATTATCACATGTATTTAATAAAACAGGTAGTTTGACTACTTTTATTTTCCCTCTTATAGGCCAGTTATTTCCCTAAATCAACTAAAACAAATCTGCTGTTTAGAAAGTCATATAAACACAATTTCAGTGAGGACAAGATAGTTTTAATATGTTAGTGTCTAAATAGGGATCAACAATACCCTTTTCCTCCTAACAGGGCTGGCTTAATGACATGATTTTATTTTGACAATCATAAAACAAAGAATTTGATAGTTTTAACAATGTGGATATTATGAGTTAACTTGGAGGATTACAATATAATGTATGTTCAGTAAAGGGAATTAGAGTACCTGAAAATGATTATCTCTATTCAATAGTTAGCACTAATAGCAGAATGGCTTTGTCTCATCATTTTGGGAACCTTCTATATTGTTAATAAAATATGCTGATGATAAGCTAAGCAGTAGCAGTCAGTCTCCCAAGCCTAGTTTTAAACATCTGCTTTCACTATTAAAGTTATTGTTCATTTTTTCTTAAAATAGGAATAATACAGCACTCCACTGTTCCAGAAATAGATCTATCACTCCTAAATAATCACTAGTAAAAGAATTACTCTACAGATAAATAAAATGTATACTCAATAATTCAATATACAGATCCTAGTCTTAAGATAAATTGCAAAGATAGACCCTTCCATAGCTTAGCGACTTTGTAAAAAGAAATGAGACCAGAGGCCCCTCCTTCCCCATGTGAACACACCCAGGAAAGGTCATGTAAGGACACAGCAAAAGGCGGCCATTTGCACACCAGGAAGAGAGCCCTCACCAGTAACCGAAATGGCTGGCACCTTAATTTTGGCACCTTAATTGTGGCCCTGTACAGACCCTATGATGGGAAAAGAAAATGTTCTTACAGTAGAAAAGCAAGATTGCCACATTAAGTAACCAACAAATGTACTTCCTAGTTTCTTCCAGAATTTATTTGCTTGCTTTTTTCTCAGGATAGGAAATCCCCAACATGGTCTAGAAATGAAGAAACTATTTAAGCTGTGGCAAAAAGTTACTGTGGACATGATGAGATCCTTGTTAAGATTGCTGTTTTCAGGAACTCACCCTGAGCATCTGACCCTCAAATTAGCAGATAAACCTACACTTACGCTTGACATCAGCCTGACACCTGTCCATGTTTTCTGCTCCTGGCTAGGATTGTATTTTGTGTCTCTCTTAATCCCTGCACAACTTTTTGAAAGAGTTAAGAAAGCTATAAATTTCCAGGCCAGGGATTTAGCTCAGTGGCGCCATGTCTGCCTCGAAAGCACAAGGTCCTGAGTTTGATCCCAGGTACCAAAAAAAAAAAAAAAAAACAAAATCCATGTGGTCATCTCAAGATGCAGAAA